CGGGACAGGGGGTGGGGTAATAGGAGCCTATATAAGAAAAAGACCCAAAAATCGGGACTGTCCCTATAAAATCGGGACATCTGGTCACCCTAGTTCCCAGCCCTAGCGGGTAGGGGGATTTAGGAGCCTGGATGCCTGGGTTATAGTCCCAGTGCTGGGAGGGGCATAAGGTCTAGTGGTAAGAGCAGGGGGCCTGGGAGGCCTGTCTCCTGGTTCTACTCCCAGTTTGGAGAGTGGGGTGAAGTCTGGGGGTTAGTGCTGGGAGCTGGGACTCCTGGGTTGTAGTCTGGCTCTGCCACTGATAGAAGAATACTTAGCAGCATCCCTTTACATTTCTAAACCTGAGAGACTTAGGTGATGTTTTGAATTTAATTGAGAATTTTATTGCAGGATCAGTCAGTGCTTGGTGTGCCGTCTGGGCCCCACGCAGAACAAGGGTCAGCAGTAAACAGGGGTCATGACTGCACTGTTACATCCCAGAAAACAGAATCATTACAATCATACTTTATCCCTACAGAGCACCTTTCTCTTCAATAGATCGGTGCACTTTTCAAACCTTAATTAATAAGGCCTGGGAGATTGTCACCATTATCTCTGTTTCGAAGATGAGGAAATTGAGGTGAACCCAGCAGTAGAATCCATCTCTCCTGACTCCCAGCCCCATGCCATAACCCCAAGCCCATACATTGCTCTTTGATAGCTCTTTACATATAAGAATCTCAACATGCTTTACAAATGTTAATTAATTAAGTCTCCAAAGATTTGTGCCAGGAAGGCATTAGATTTTTTTATCCCCATTTTATAAAGGGCTATGGTGGTGAGCCACTGATAAGTGACACAGCCTCATGGCCACTGAACAATTGTTAGTGGCAGAGTTGAGAATAGAACCCAGCTATCTAAGGCAGGGATCGGCAACCTTTCAGAAGTGGTGTGCCGAGTCTTCATTTATTCACTCTAATTTAAGGTTTCGCGTGCCAGTAATACATTTGAACATTTTTAGAAGGTCTCTTTCTATAAGTCTATAATATATAACTAAACTATTGTTGTATGTAAAGTAAATAAGGTTTTTAAAATGTTTAAGAAGCTTCATTTAAAATTAAATTAAAATGCAGAGCCCCCCCGGACCAGTGGCCAGGACCCGGGCAGTCTGAGCGCCGCTGAAAATCAGCTCGCGTGCCATCTTCAGCACGCGTGCCATAGGTTGCCTACCCCTGATCTAAGGTATGATCTACACACATTTTTTAAATGGTATAACCATTTTGGTTAGGGCTGTCATTTTTTAATGATAAAACCCCTAGTGTGGATGCAGTTATATAGGCAAAAATATGCCCTAAACCAGTATAAAGTATTCCCCTTCCTATATGGGAATAGCTATACCAGTATAAAGCCCTTTCCACCGGTATAACAACATCCACACTAGGGCAATCATGTTGCTTTAACTACTGTGATAGTTAGTGCAGTACAATGTATGGTGTAGACAAGCCCTTCTAGGCTAAGCTCTTCAGGGCAGGGACTGTCTTATGTTTGTACAGAGCCCAGCATGATGGGGCTGAAGACCTTTGGCACTGCTGCAATGCAAGTAATAATAATGAGTCCTAGCTCCTGGCAAAGTCACTGGGAAGGGAAGGCATCACTTATCTTACAAGTATGTTTGTTAATGCTGTATTTGTGCTATGAATCCTCATGGAGAAGTTGAGAGAAAAGAGATGGCAACTGGCTATGGACTTTGTGGACCTGGAGAAGGCGTACAGTCGTGTACCACGAAAACGAATTGGGTGGAGTTTGTGATGGAAAGGTGTGCAAGAAAGCTATGTCCAGCTTATCCAGGATAGGTATGATGGAGTGACTACTGTAGTCCAGACTAAATGGGGCTACAGTACAGAATTACCAGTAATCATTGGCCTGCAGCAGTGCTCAGCGTCAAGCCCCTTTTTGTTTGCAATTGTCATGGATGCGATAGGTGAGAATATATGAAGGCAGCTGCCTTGGAACTTGCTGTTCTCTGTTAATGATAGGTGCAGAAGATGGTGAGACCTTGGGAGCCAACTTTGAACAGTGGCAACATAGTTTTGAGCGGGCTGGACTTAGTGAACGTTGGTAGACCAAGGCTATGATAATTGAGGTAAGAGGATTCAGCATGAAGGATCTCACAGACAGAAACCATAGAAGAAGAGTGCAAGACTTTAAATACCTAGGAGCAATGGATGCTGCTGATGGTGCCCTCCTGAGTGATGTCTGCCATTGTACTAAGCTTCGTGGGGCAAATGGTGTGAGCTGACTCCAGTTGTCTGTGACAAAAAGAAGCCAATAAAGTTAAAAGACAGCATGTAGACAATTGTAATTTGACCCATCTTAATGGAACAGAGACTTGCCCAGCCACAAGAAAGAAAATCAGTGTGCTGTCCACCACAGAGCTGAAGTTATTGAGATGGTCAAATGGTTGGACACCATGTTAGGATATGAAATGGAGTTTTAAGGGGCCTAATGCAGTTTGTTCCAATAGAAGACAAGTCGAGGGAGGCTAGGCTACCTTGGTAAGGGTTTATCCACTGGAGATCGGAAAGCTGTATCGGTAGGATGGCTCTTGCAATAATTGTGGATGGAAGATGACCAAGGGGAAGACCAAAGATTCAACGTGGACTGGATATCAGTAGACCTCGGAGAGGCTAATCTACATGACAGCCTGGCCTATGTTCATGAGTTTTGTATGAAGGCTATAAAAATCGCCAATCCTGAAGAGGGAAGTGGCACGAAAGAATAGTAGTCCTGACTTCTACTCCTCGGCTCCATCCACCAGTCCCCATTGATTCTATCAAGTATAGCTGCAAAGGGGAAAATATACCAATAAGGAGATACATGTTCTCATTCCCAAATCCTGTTTATGGCAAACTCCCTCTTCCCCCCAACAAAAACACACCAAATGCAGTAATTCCTGCTGCTGAGAACTCATTGCTCACTGCTCTGTAGGATTCAATTTCTCTGAATGAAACCAGCTTGTCTGATTCAAACAGGTTTTTTTTAAAACTCACCAGTGGAACTTTTGACCAGTTGTTGTTTTTCCTTCCTGCCTTTCCTTTCCTCCCAGGAAATAGTCAACGGCAAGTTACTACCCAGAACTGATTACGTGATCCCAGGCTTGGTGCCTTAGAGACAGGGACTGAACCAATGGCTTCTGCAGCACAGTAGTGCAAGGGAGGGGGGAGAGGAGAGGACGCGGGAGAGGGAGAGGAGGGGATGGGGGCAGGGGTGCAACACAGGAACTGCATCTGGTCTGCTTCCCCATCACACACAGAGTGAGTCTAATATTACTGACACTAGTGACCTCATCTCTTAAAATACAGAAAACAAGGCCGTCGAGGTTGTGGAGCAAGAGAGGCGTTCTGATGGAGACGTCTAAAGAGTTATGTTTTGTGTTATTTAACCCCTCTGTGCTCAGGGAATTACAAGCTAGTTTTGCATGGGGAGTTGTTTTTCTTTTAGTATTTGGGATGGTTGTTTCGGAAGGGCACAGTGAATCAGACACTCTTTAAAGCGAGATTGGCATTAATAGCTAGAATTAAACACCACGCTGTCAGGTATCAGGTAAGCTTTTCCCACAGTGCTCCACTGATGAAGGTCGATCTTGATACAGGTACCTATGCACAGCTCCGCCAGTGCAATTGGTCCCAGCACTTAATTCACATTGCCACTGAAGCCTTGCTCACAGCTCTGCCAGTGCACCTCAATCCCAATTTTTAGCACCTACAATTATTCCAGCGGGGGTTCCTGCACACAGCTCTGCTGGTTCACCCATGGTCTGAACAGAGAACAATGGATTTCTGATCAGGTCACAAAACATACACCGAATGCCCTGCCTATATGTATGTATATATTTTGGTCTAACGTGTGGTGAGTTGGCAGTTACTGTGGACCCTAGATAGCCATCTAATCTACCTATCTATTTTTTATATAGTGCTCATCCTCCTGGTATCTGGAATCTGAGATGATGGCAGAGGAGACTTTGGAAGGTCAGATCTTTAGCTGGTATAAATCACATGACTCCACTGATCACAATGGAGTCAGGGCCGGCTTCAGGCACCAGCTGAGCAGGCTGGTGCTTGGGGCGGCAGATTGTTTGAGGCAGCATTCCGCCCATACCTAGGGCGGGACGGCCGCATTTTTTTTTTTTTTGTTCCGGTCCGGCTGCCCTGTAGGGGGCGGCGGTGCGGAGAACCAGAGCGCCCTGCAGGGCAGTCCTCTTCCTTCCCTCCCCGGCGACCGGAGCGGAGCCCTCGCGGCAGGCGGCAGGCGGCAGGCGGCGGCGCAGCGGGAGGGGCCGTGTGGCAGCGCCCCTGCTGTAGTCCTGGCCGCCCCCTTCTCTCTCTCTCCCGCCTGCTTCCTCCCCCTCCCCTCCCCGCCAGCCGGTCCCCCTGCACCCGCGATCCGGCCGCGCCGCAGGTTTTTATTTTTGCTTTGCCGTTCTGGCCGCCCCGTTTTTTTCTTTTTTTTTTGCTTGGGGCGGCCAAAAAGCCAGAGCCGGCCCTGAATGGAGTGATCGCAGTAGAACTACACCGATTTACACCAGATGAGGATCTCACCCATTAGCTCTTTGCTGATCTCCAAACTTGCCCTCCCCTATCCCTGGTCAACTCCTGTTTTCTTGATTGCTCTCCCAGACTCATGTGAAGTGGTGATCTGTCCTCTCTCTTTTTTTAAAAGAGCAATGGCATTGAATAAAAAACCTGGATCCCAATATCCCTGAGCTGTGGGGAAGTTCAGCCCTGGATTCAGATCTGGTTTTGCAGTTTGGGCCCACCCCATCATTTTAGGAAAGTGCCACTCCTGCACTGCATGAAAAATGAAAACTGCGGTTTAAACTTTGCACATGTGTTTGCTCCAGCTTTACAAAGATCCACATAGGATTTATATTTGCTTCGTTAATCTGGAAATAGTAGTAGAAGAGTGGGTGTATACTGTCCTTTTGAAAATCAGCTGCATGATGCATGCAAACAATGTAATCTATCAACATGGCAGTTAATGTAAATGTTAATATAAACCTCTATTGGCTGAGAATGCACCCGCCTTGTTTTGCTCTGTGCCCGAGATTTGGAAAGCATGTAGCTGCCAAGATAGGTGTGTGGGGCATGCAGAGCTAGCACTGCATCTACAGTGTTTAAATTTCTTTTCCATGCAGTGCTGGAATGACCAAATGAGGAACAGGGAAGGAACTCAGCAGCTGATCCTGGAGGTTACAAAGACAGCTGGTGGCATTTAAAATCCTGCTCTCATTTACAGCGAGGCGGAAAATACAGCATTGCTGTTGCCACTGAAAGGGGAATTTGCCCCATGTCTTAGACACAGACCAGAATCAAAACCCTACATCCAAATATCCCAGAACATTGGGAATGCCATATATTGGAGCCAAACTTCACGGGTGAGCCCCATGTGTCCACTGAAGTCAAAGGGAGTTTTGCCTTTAAATACAATGGAATCGGAGTTCTGTCTATGTACTTATTTAAGCACCATTACCATAATAATCTCACAACACACATTAGAGGTAGGAAAGTATTATTCCCATTTTTATTGATGGGGGAACAGAAACAGGAACTAAGGCCCAGATCCTCCCAAATATTTAGACTCTTAATTTCCATTGAAATCAATGGGAGTCAGGAGCTTCAGTACCTTCGAGGATCTGGGTCTAAGTGACACAGGAGGTCTGTGGTGGAGCAGGAGCTTGAAGCTAGGTTTCCTGTGTAGAATGACAGGCTACTTCCTCTTCCTCCCTTGTCCTGTCAGCCAGCCATATCAAAACTCCAGCTCTGAACTATGGACGGGAGGGGATCCAGGTCCACTTTCCAGCCCCCTCTCTGTGTAAGACGAAGCTGAGTTCTATTTTATGCTCCCTCCCTTAGGGAACGGACTCAAAATTGCTTCCTTCGCAGTCATGTTACAAAATGAATCAGTGTTTAATGGAACGATAAAAAGAAAAATGAAAATATCAAACCGGCTGGATTTATTTCCGCTAAAACGACACCAGGCCAGATTTTCTAACCTTCTATAGCAAAGCCCTGAGGCCCTTTTAAAATACTTCACTCCTTGGGGCGTGCAAGTGCTAGAGCCAAATCCTCAGCAGGTATAAATCAGCAGAGCTCCACTGGGTTTGATTGACAGTAGCTGAGGGTCTGGCCCTGGATCAGTAGCAATCGCTCAATAACCTTGTGCCCATTTTTTCAGGGGGAGCTACATCTCCCATTGACCACCACTGCACTCAAAATCGCAATGCACAGAAGTGCAAGATCAGGCCAATTAGTTAATCCTCACAACCTCTCCGCTGTGAGGGAGGTAAATATGAATCCCATTGTACAGCTGGGGAAAGTGAGGCACAGACAGGCCAAGTCACCCCCAAAGCCACATCATATTTATCCTAGAGTTGGGAATAGAACCCAAGAGTCCTGACTCCTGCTTTGATGCCTTGGCCACAAGATCATCTTCCTTCTTTTGTTCAAGAGAACCTGACTTTTAGGACTCTCTTTGTTTCCCCCTTATCTATGCCTTTTGTACAGGTTTTGAAAATCCATGTGCTCTGAACGCTTGCCCTCCCCACCGAACACAAAAACACCACACACAGAAGTGTGACCTTGTTTATTAACGGCCGGGCCAGCTGCATGCTCAGGAAGTGGAAGCATGAAGGAAAAAACCCCTGAGACGAGAAAACAGAAATAGATAAAGTCCAGAAAGGCTGCACTGACGTGCAGAGATCACACAGGCAGGAGGATGAAAGGGCAGGAAATGGGTTTCCAATTGCTGGGCAGCAGGTACAAAAGGCAGCAAAATGCTTTGGAAAGGAAACAATTTACAATCTGGCCACACTGGATCTCAGAAGATTAAGCCCGTGCATTTTACACCAGCCACATAATTTTTATCAGTACTAAACTGTGACTCTGGAGAACCGCATTGTGCAGGAGCCTAGTAATGGCCTATGGAGTCATTAGCTACTAACTGGATCAAAATGGAGGGCCTGTTGTGCTGTATGCTTTACAAACAAACAGGAAGAAAGTCCTTGCTCTAAAGAGCTAACAGACTAAATAAACAAGATGGACAAAGGGCGGGTAGCAGAAAGGAAGTGTAATTATCCCCATTTCACTAATGGGGAACTGAGGCTCAGATGCTCAAAGGTACCTAATTCCCAGGCCTCTGAGGTTTGCAATTCCCAGGTCTTAGAAAATTTGGGACAGAAAGATTGAGTGAGTTGACCAGGGTCACACAGGAAACCTGTAGCAGAGAGAGGGTTTAAACCTGCATCTCTTGTGTCTTAGTTCAGTGCCTTAGTCACAAGACCCTCCTACAGTTCCAAGTCACCAGACTGAATACAGCCTGGGCTGATAGTGACTGAGAATTCTGGTCTATCGATAGCTGGGTGTGGAAGGAAGGTGCTAGAGCTCAATCTAATTCTTCATGGGCCAGGTGTTCATATTATGAAGAAACCCCACCGTGGTTAGCACTAACTGCAGTCTCAGCAGAGAAGCCAACGGCTGAATGGGTCATGGAGCCTGAATTACCCCTAGATGGGTCACTCCAGGACAGGGTCAATTCACATAGGCAGGAAGCATCATCTGATGCGTGCCCTATTCTGTAGAAAAAACACAGGACTTGAGGGCTGTGTTCACCAGCTCTCAAAGCAAAGGGGAGCACCCATCAACTTTTCTTTGCAGAGGGGTAGGTTGGGATGTGACTGCCCAGCTCTGATGTATTCAGCTTTGACCCACATGCTGCGCAGGGCGTGACGAATACAGTTAACTGTCTCCCACGCAAATGTCCAGAGCTTGCCCCTGTGCTGAAGCATCTGGGCAGAGCACAGCCGGAAAGGCCCTCACTTCCCTTGTTCTGTGAAGCCAGGGGTTCCTGTGTCAACAGCTGCTGACTTGGCGACCGAGTGGCCACCTGTCATGTAGAAACGGAGGACATTTTTTCACCTCATTCTGGGTACAGCCCAAGAGCTCATTTAGATTCATAAAATGGGCTGGAAACAGAATGTTATCACAGGAGAACTCACAGGCCTGATCGGGGGTGACGGGGTGGGTGGGGAGGGGCTGATATTAATGAGCCTGGAAACAACAGCAGTGCCGTTCAATCCCTTCACCCCCCGCCCTCACTTGATGGGGCTGCAGCCTCCCCACAAAGCC